AGAAACTTTTGATTAAAAAGACGCATCTCTACACTGATCTTTAAACATGAATTCATCAGGTGAAATATAAAGAGGACATCATTGATGGGTTGGAAACAAGACCAAAGTTTGCAAAGGCAACCTTCACTATCTAAACCATTACACCTTGCAACTGTAAGTCAGCAACAACAAAATGAATTTTTGAAGGTCATTTATCAGACTGGCTTCCAGGTTAATATCTGAAAAGTTATATCTTTTCTTTGCTTTACCTCTAATATGAATGGATAAAAAGAAAATAACTATCAAAACCATCAAAGCAGATTTAGGCAGCAAGTCTTAATTTGCATTAAGTTGAAACGTCTTTTTTCAGGTGTAAAATGTAAATAAAAACAAAATGCAATGATCGGCAAATAAACTGATCCGCAAGGCCAGTAACGTTGTGGGGATGGAGCTGGACTCCCTTAAGGTGGTGTCGTAGAGGCGGATGTTGTCCAAGATAAGGACAATGTTGGATAATACCTCCCACCCACTCTATGACGTGCTGGCTAGCCACAGGAGCACGTTCAGTGAGAGACTGAAAAGCACCACTGAACCACACAGGAAATCATTGTTGTACCTTTTCCTTGTACAACTGTAAACACTGCAACAGTTACACCCTTTTTGCACACGTTCTTTACTACTCAGTAATGTTGCTGTCAATATTCTAGATATATATTTATAATCACCTCTGTCAATCCTTGATATTTATTATTGAGTGATTTGTATCGTTGTATTTGTACTGTGCTATTTCTTACATCTGTAAATCTGTAACATCTGTAACACTGTTAAATAGTCTAGCCTGTTACTGTTACTGTTATTCATATTCATACAGGAACACTTTTAAGTTTTTCCCCTGTCCCCATATTTGTTTACAAGTGTTGCTGCTCCATAAATCATATTTACTTAAACTGTATAGTCATTGATTGCTGTAGTGGCAATTCCTTTTGTTTGACAAATCAAACATCCCACAATTAAAAGTCCACAAGCCACTGCTGCACTGAGATACTATTTCGTACGCAGGCAAAAGAAGTCCACTGTCCAAACTTGAAAGTTGCGTTTTTATGGTTTATTTTATCCAGTTTGGCAA